GGAAAAGGGACATTCCCTAAATCGCGACCTCGGCATCCGTACCCCCTGAGTGCATCCAAGTCTCGGTTCTGGAGATAAGATCCCAAGCACTTGTTGCCTGGCGCAAGCGAAGTTCGGGAATTTTGCTGGAGAGCGTTTATGTTTTCGTGAACATGCAGGAAAGTGTTTTGGTTTTCAGCAACGATCCGAAAGGCTTGTGACTAGGATGAGAGATTGTACTTAATGTTGTATGATCGGCTGCTAGACGTTTTATGTGTTATTATCGGCGAGTCGTTTGGAGTTCCGTTTGGTGGCATCGTATCCATCTCTTCTGACAATGTATTTCTCACAATGCGTAGAAAGTGATCGCAGAATTGCATAGGAAGTTCCTCACCTCTTTAGATATTATACCAGGGTGAATATCGATTGGGGCCCTAGCATCATTTGGCTGCGTGGTGAGCGACTTAAATCGGATGTCAGTTTCGCTCGCCGTTTTGAACCGGAGCTCGGTTGGCATTCTGTTCCGAAGTAACTATCAGCTTTCCAGTTGCATAAGCGCCATCTGCCTAGTTTGTGGCAGTAACTCAATTATGTTTGGACTGCCCCATTCGTAGCTTTCTGATCTTAGCAGCCTCAAAGTAGAAGTAGTTGCAAGTTCATCTAAGAGCAGGGTTTCACGAATATGACGCCACAGTTAATGGTCGTGAGCCCTTGCTTCGAATTCATCGTGCTCATGAGACTGGGGGATGCCGTAGAGAAAAAGGTTCTGGATGCTGTGTTTAGGCGGAAATTTGAATAACTTGTCACCAGCTGTATGCCGTAACGACGCTTCGCTGCCACGCGACCACCACCAGTTGTGCTCGGCTTGAGTGTACCGCGAAGGCGGTCAACCCTACGCGGATTCGAACCGGCGGCCTTATGTTTGCAAATCAAGCGCGCAGACCACTCGGCCACCGGCCAATGGAACTCTTCTAATCTCTGCTTCTCTTGCTTGCCTTTAACCCACGAAACAGCTCGAATCACATGGACCAAACCGAATTCGTACTGGAGACGAGCAGTCGAAAGCAACGCTGCGTCCTCCTTATCGACATAATTTAGCACAAGCCGAAGAAGCCTGATTTCACCATAGTGCTTGGAATTTAGTGTCGAGTGATCCTTGTCAGATTGGTGGGCATAGTTTTAATACCAAGCTGGTTACTTATGATGTTTCATTGACTCAGGTCATCAAACTGTTTCCACTTCAAAGAATTTGATGTTGGCTCCGGAACGCCGGCACTTATTATAGATAGAGCATCCAATTGCTTTCGATTGTCTTTCCTGGGAGTAGGGACCGTGGTTGGGAAATCTAGTGGTTTGATCCGCATAAGTGTAGGGTTGCTTTTCCCATTAGTTATAGTGGTGATGAAACGGAACAATGGTATAACACGGATAAAAAAGCTAAAGCTTAACAAATCACGTGGGATGGTATGTGGGAATAAAGGTAGTTCAATTAAGTTACAGAAGAATGAAAAACATATATGTGGACTCACCATATTATCCACGTTAATACATAGGTATGTCCGTCTAACCAGATTTCGTGGGGTTGGTGAGCACAATGTTTGTCTGCATCTTGTCGTCACTCAATGAACAGAAATCAGATCAAGTAGTGTAAACGATGTAAAGCATAGTCTAGTCGTTTTTCTAAATGGTTAGCGTGGGCGCTGAAATGATAAACGTCGAAGGAGCTTTTTTCGGTTGACAAACTAGAAGGGAAAAGTAATTCTAGTGACACTCCAGCCGACTGTATTGGGTAGCAAGCTTCAATTTATGACACCTCAATTCTGTTTTGCAGCTAAGCTTCAGGAGGTGTCACCAAGCGTATCCGGGTTTTTCAAAATCTGGAACGCCAGCATGAGCACCTGGTAGACTGCGATATCTTCCGTTGTCCATTCCCAGGGCTTGCAGTCGCCTATGGTATTGCAGATGGGAAAAACACTTAATATTTTTCGTTGCCCGTCGCCGTGCGGTCTGCAGCGTAACCAGGTCGCGTTTTAACCAAGGTTGCCAAGCCTGAATCGCGTACACTACATGGGGCCTCACATACTCATTGAGCATTTGGGGGAAGATGGAGGGATCGAACCACCCGAAAGCCCTCCGTAACAGACTAACATGTTGGTTCGCAGTTTTAGACGCCTTCAAGGACTGCGCCGAACAGCCGAGATCGTCTCGCTCTTGCGAGGCCGTGTTCATCATATCGTCTCCAAGCTTAAATGCGTACGTGGGCTTGTGACGGAGATGCACGGTTTTGCATTTGTCCGTATTAAACGGAATTAACTTTAGCTTTGACCATTGAAAAGCGCAGTCTAAGTCTCGATGCAACACATCGTGATCTTCATGACAGTCGATTGTCCTCCCTATTTTGATGTCAATGGCAAAAAACAGGAAAGTTGACTTGATGACACTCACAAGGTCATTACTGAAGAACAACCGTTGTGGAACACCGCAGTCTATACCATTTGGATCAGAAAATGAACCTCGAACTCGAACCTGAAGACGCCACTGAAAGAGGAACTTTCCGATCCATCCAAGGACAGGGTTCTCACCTCCGTGTGCTTGCAGCTTTTAGAGAAGGATGCGGGATCTATGCGGTCGAATGCTTTGGAAATGTCTAGGTAGATGACATCAATGCCGGTCCCTCTGTCGTCTATCTCTGTCTAAGTGCCATGGGCAAGCAATAGTTTGGTAGTACATGGCCGATGCTGACGGAATCCTTGTTGCTCCGGTGCTATGATGTTAGACCTATCAAAGTAGCTCATTGAAACCCCAGCTATGATCAGCTATGATTTTTAGCACTCTTTGTTGCAACATCGGTCCAGTTGTTACTGATATTAGCATGTTTCCTGAGTTCCGGCGAAGCCTGATGAGAGAAAGTGGGTTTGGGGGAAAATGTTGCAATTGGGCTGGGTGTGAGTTGTTCGTGAAAGCTTGGCAGATTTGGATTAATGGACGTATTTACAGGAGCAACTATATTAGGGGAACATCCAGCGTTATGGAGCTGGCTTCGATTGGAGTTCGGTGAAGATGTCTATGTCAGACATTCTGCTATGCTTGTTCGTAATGAAGCTATTTTGGTACAAAAAGTTTTCTTAATCGCGGGTGTCACCCTAGCGTACTTCCGGGACAGGGCTATTACAGTTTTAACTAGTGGGACAGTATTACACCTCGCGTAGAACAAAAATAAGTCTGGTCTGCTGCTGCTCAGCCTAAACTCGCTTGGTTTGCTTTTCTCACACTGCAGGAAAATAAGTCCAGCAGTTTCTACATGAACTCCTATTTTGACCACATTATCGTACCATTCACATGCACCTTCAGGCGTCGCGGATCGGCCACTAGCGCTCATCAGGTCCCGTGAGCTTTTCGATGGTTAGTCCAACGCAGGACTCAGGCGTCAAGGTCAGTCCGCCGAGACAAAAGGCTGTCACAATTCCTCTCTCTCTCTCGGTCGCGTGCAGATTACTGGATTCGAGGGTGCGCACACCATCACACGAAGGCGCGGCGTGTATTGATCGGGTAGCGTTAAATGACGATGCAGGCAGTGCGCTGGCAGGTGTACCTAAGTGTCTCGGACACGATGTTTAGTGGGTGAGCGACGCAACATTTCGCGTAACTTTGTTATGCCACGGCCTGCGGGGATGGTTGTAAAGTCGTTCGAGAGTTCTTGGCTTTTTTTTCCGAATGCAACCAAAAGTATTCTCGTAAAACTCAGGAGTGATATGACTTCACGTGCATAACAACAAAGAAGGTGCCAAAACTGAGAACGCGAGTAACAGTATGGTTCACCCAAATTAGACCCAATAGACGGGAAACACTGAATAGTACTCGTCGAACGGATTCGAATTAACGCAAGCACAAGGATGTGTGTAGAAAACTGGAATGGCCACAGAGCGTGAAGCTAGAACCGAGATAAAGTGCGTCCGTACTGTGAGTGCACTTTGTCCAGTGGATCACTCAATGGATCGCTGAGGCATGCAAACCATTGCACCACGGTAAAGTACAGCCTTATTGCGGTGGCTGTAGCAGGTAAGTTGTAAACCTAACTTACGCCAAGCACTCAGGCCTATAAGGTTTTCGGTCTTGTTTAACCACTTCAGTTAGGTTTACTTGCGTTGGTAATCAAATTCGAAAATGTATAGCTTTATTTCTTTCACTACAGTTGGTCGTCAAGCTTATTAAGCCAATTACCAGTCGGAAAAAATCATTAGGCGACCGTTGCCCCCTCTTATTAATCGTCAGTGGTGCGTATTCCATCCGCCTCCCTCAGAAAACCATAATCTATACGATCTGTGTGGTTGATGTCTTGACTGAAAGCGAGTCGTCTCATTCGTAGTGTTAACTGATTGCTACCGGCAATATTTATCAACCCATCTGGACAGCTTGCGCTTTGCCACTTGTTGTCACTGAGGCACTTTCATCGTGCTTTTGATCCGCGATTTGCGTCAGGGCTTTTATCTGGAGATTGTTTTTGTTTTGGAGGACGAACTGTTGGCACATTTGGGTTAGGAATCGTTAGATTAATGCCTATTTTTATTCGTTAATTTGATTCAGTAGCACTGTTATCTCAGCTCCTAGGTTGCCTTGTTGCATCGCATGTTGGATAGGTACCAGTTAAATGTCTAAGTGTTTCTGACGCTTACAATGGTTTTATAATGAATGACCTGTCGGAAGTCGATTTCGAACTTTGATCACCTACTCCTGAGACACCCAAGTTATGACGGAACCGAAGTGACTGTTACATCTGACCCGAATAGTAGCCAACAACAATTTTTTCTGGTATACACTTAGGAGAGTATGTAGGAGTGAGAACTTATTTAGTTCCATCAAATGACCACCATTCGTACACGTGTCCTCGACCAAAGGGTAAGCAGTAGCCAGCTTGTTCAAATTAACAAAGCACCCCAACTTCGTTAATCTTGTCAAGTTAATAGATTAGTCAATTACATCCAAAGCACAAAGATAACTCACCGGCACATTCCGTACTCTAGGAGAGTCTGTTCAAGACGCTGTTAAATGAGAGAGACAATTATGGGTCAACTCCACTGCACTACTCCACCAGGATGGGCAATCTAGGCGCCACAACAGCGTTTCTTCTGCGTGGTGCCTCAACCCTTGAAAGAGACAATGAACGAAACACACCATTGCACACAGCTGCACACTTTGGTCGGTTGCACACGTGTGAGAAGCTGCTGGACACTACGCACGGAATGCGAGCCATGAACTCCCCGGATGCTTTGGGACGTCTGCCCATCCACGTGGCGGTTGAACGCGGACATGTTGGTGTGGTGAAGCTGTTCCTTGAAAAAGGATGCGTCTTTCGAAAGTGAGTATATTACACGTATTTTATAGGACTAGACTTGTGAACGGGGCGAAATTCGGTATGCGTAGCAAAAGGCTACTACTGTACTTACGCGTAAATAAGAAATGTATACTATACTGTCATTAACGTGATCTGCATCCGTGGAATGGACTACATTAACTGCGTGCACGGATGATAAAGAATACCCCAGACTGAATTCCGTGTGATGCGCTTGGCGCGGATTAATGCGAATTGAGTGTTGAAAATTCGCTTATTCACTGATTAACAATTTTCACACAACGAGTCCCAATCGGCTGCGGTAGTGAAACAACCAGGCACACCAATGTTATTCAGCCAGTGACCTAACAAAATGCTACCCGAACCAATTACCTTAGGCTGTTTATTTTCTTTCCTAGACCTGCGAATAGAGAGCATAAATAAGAGCGGATCCTTCAATATTTAGATTTCCATTAAAACGGTGTATGTCTGCTTGGTATATGCATAACATAGTTTGCAGGCCTTCTTGTGACTGTGAATCAATATACTCCGGATTCATCTCACTAGGCTTGAGGTGTTTGAACAAAAGCAGTAGGACCCATATTGGTCCTCCAATGTGTGGACAACCCGTGAATAATCAGCCATTCAGTACTACAGGTCCAGCATGCCAAATGGGCTTATGTGCGTCTTGTACTTGGTATGTCCAATGCGTCAGCTCACACTTATATACTTGTTTGTTGCGCGTTTCCTGATTATGTCTAAATAGTTAGGAATGTTTGAGACACTAACCCTAAGCAGGCCTTTAAGCAGCCTTGTTATAAGGTCTCTCTTGTTAGTTATTCTGCAGCGATATTATCTTTTCAGTCAAATCAGAAAGTTGAAATCAGAAGTTGCATGAAGTTTACTCTGTAGTACACTGTGAGGATTGATACAGCATTGGGTCTGTCTCTAAATTGTTGATTTGTACCCAGAGGAGGAGCTACAAACTAAACACATCCATACGTTATAGCAACTAAGAGACAATAAACACAAAGCACATCATCAAAACAAGTGCTTGAACGCTGATCTAATGCACGGTGTATGATGCTTCTGATAACTGAATGGTAGTAACACCAACAGGTGACCAGGCAATTCTTTCCACAATTTGCCGACATCCCTGCGGGTCGCACTTTATCCTTGGCCCCTGTTGTGGCTGTATGTGGTGAGACTACTGATTTCGAACTTCGATTATATCGAGCAGTAAACGTTTGCATAAGTAGATCTGACTTTAGAAAGGTTCGACTTTTAACGGTCACTCAGAAGGTTAGGTATTACCAGTGTTGCATTAGTCGGTACACTGAATAAGAGCATGTGGGTAGTGGCGCTGGGCAGGCCTCGATCTTTGGCGACGAAGAGTTGGTTCCTGGTTTCCAAGGTCTCTTTTACTGCGTGGCCTTGGGAATGCCAGACACATTTCATGGTTTCTCATTGTGCTTAATACGACTTTCAAAAGTCTGAAAATTATGGAGGACAAAACCCCGCTACAACGAGAGATAAGGAGGAGAACTTCTGAAGTTAAACAGAATACCCAACAGCCATATGGCGCCCCTCACCCAGTTGATATTGCTCCACTTATTGGCCAGCACAAATGTGAGGATACTACTCCGCTTGCTGCAAATAGGGACGAAGCGTTGGATGATCAAATGATTTCTGAAATTAACAAAGAATCACATGCATATGCGGGCCACTCTATTGCATTAGATGATGTGTCCGGTAGAACAACTAATTCTCGCCCTTCGAAGCTAAGGTCAACGTCAGATGCAAAATTGGTAACTGAAGGACTCCCACTAGGCCACAGATTCACGGCTAAGCGTGTTAAGCCGACCAAGCCCAAAACGACTACAATCCCCAAAACTAGTGATGTACATGGTGCTTCCTCTTGGATAATCAGTTCTGGCAGTCATATAGGGTTTCCTAATACTCTTTCCCCTATGCGAAGTGACAACATTGGGGATCAGCGAATAACAACTGCATTACCTGCTAAATCCCAGTTGCATGCAAAGGCGCTACCTCAAGCCTCGAACTGTCATGTCCCGCCTAAAGTCTGCTTTGGCCAGTGTCCAACCTCATCGAGAATTTCGATGGATCCGGTCAAATTGATTGATAGTAAAAGGACGGTTGACCTTGATTTATCGCAGGCATCATTGGCCGACTCTATATCGTCATTTTGTTTGGATAGACGTACACCCATTGATCATAAAGTTATGGAAGACGTGCCGCTATCTTTGCACCTTACACACGGTGTAATTGGGTATCATGACGTTCCAAACCTATCAACGAACCACATGGATTATGCTGATGTTGGTGTATGGATTGACACCAGTGTGCCTCCACCGCGTATAGTGAATCCTTGTATATCGAGCGCAAGTAAGCGGATTTTACCCATAGATGGAAATAACAGCAATCCACTGAATCCTATCAATGCGTTACGTAATCAACAGCCTATTAGCGACATGTTGCAGAGGATACAACCTAACTCTCCAGCTTCCACAGGCTATTGCAGCAATCATGGACTTTTTCCCTCAAACCATTTTCTAGAGGGCCATACTCAGTCTCAACCCCCTCCGCTATGGCCACCTCCAAATCATTTTCCACCGCTGGCAATAAGCGCACTTTTTCAACAATTTCTAACCTGGGCCCAGGCACACGCCTTGAAACTCCAGTGTTTATAACACAATCTAAAGAATCTTCCTCATATCTCACATCTATCTCAGTATTTTTGATAAACATTCGCTCTCTTTACTCTAAGATCCACACCCTACGCTCGTTTGTTTTGGTGAATAATCCTGATATATTATTTATAACTGAATCTTGGTGCCATGATGGCATGTCTGACACTCAGTTAACTATTTTCGGATATAACAAGTTTATGAGGAATCGGCCTGGTCGTCGAGGTGGTGGCTGCGTAATTTATCTAAAAAACTCGCTCACAGCAGCAACATTCGATAACCCAGTGTTGAACAATGTTCAGGAATCACTCTGGCTGACGATATCTGTTAATCAGCAACAGCTGCTTATGGGATGTATATACAACGCGCCAAACGGCAGTCAAGAAGACCTAGAACTTTTGACGCTTGCATTTGAATGCGCCGCTGGCCTACCATTTTTACATAAGCTTATTGGAGGTGATTTCAATCTGCCTTCGATTTCATGGCCCATAGGAACCGCTCCTTTGAAATACCACAATCTTATCTCCTGTATCCAAATGAATGGTTGGCAGCAACAAGTCTCTCGACCTACCAGAGGTGAAAGTACGCTGGATCTCATTTTTTCATTGGGCATACCTGCAATCAGTGTTAACGTTCTTGATGAATTTCCGGGGAGCGATCATCGCGTAATCAAATGCTGTCTAAGACTACGCATGGCCGATGTACAGAAAACAAAGCATTATCGTCTGTTCAATTCTGTCAACTGGGACTCATTCAAGGACCTGGTTCGTTCGATGAATTGGGATAAATTCTTTCTCTCTTCATGCCCTCAACATGCGACGGACCTGTTTTATAGTATAATCGGCTTCTGCATGGATTCAGCAATACCACTAAAATGTGCTTACCAAACCAAACCTAAATCCGATCGCAAGGCATTGAAGGCAGCGCGAAAGCTTCATAAGATTCGTCAGAAATTCAAGTTAACTGCTGACTTTGCGCTATTATTACAGCAGTCGAAGCTCGTGGAAGAACAGAGGCATCAACGAGACAAAACTCTCATTCTAGAAGAGTATAAAGCTCTGAATGGCCCTAGCAAAACAGCTGAGCTAGCCAAACTATTCCGTGCCCGGGGTTCGCGTTGCAGTGACAATCTCAGTTTTATCACCACGTCTGATGGAACATACTACGACGCACCAGATGATATCTGCGAAGCTTTCAGTGCTTATTTTGCCGAATCAATGCTCACTGAATCATCAGACACACCAACATTTATCACGCCGCAAAATAATGAAGGTCTATGCACAGTAGAATTCACTATAGCGAAAATCACTAGTCAAGTCGCTCGCTTATACTCCTCAACGTGCGCAGGCCCTGATGGACTACCCCCATGTTTAATAAAACGCAGTGGTAGTGACTTCCTTCTGCTTTTGCTCAACCTCTTTACACTCTCTTTTAACAACGGAGTATACCCTACTCAATGGAAAACTTCTGTTGTTATCCCGCGACATAAAAATGGCGCTGCCCACGAGGTTAAAAACTTTCGTCCCATAAATCACACACCCATCGTATCTAGAATAATGGAAAGGATAGTAAAAGATGAACTATTTATATTCTTGAACAAAGCTAACATTATCAGCAATTCGCAACACGGCTTCATGCAAGGTCGATCCTGCGCAACATGCCAGACTGACTTTTTAAACCACACAACGGCTGCCATTGACAACGGAAACAGTGTCGTAATCCTGTTCCTGGATATGCAAAAAGCCTTTGATAGAGTGCCTCACAGAAGGTTACTGAAAAAACTGAAGGCTATAGGCATTGGAGAACCGATGTTCTCTTGGCTGTCTTCATATCTAATTGGTAGACAGCAGGTTGTGCGCATAGGCGACCATTTCTCTACACCGAAAGCAATCACTAGTGGAGTGATTCAAGGGAGTGTTCTTGGTCCACTTCTTTTTCTAATTTATATTAACGATATATTCCAGAGAATAAGAAATGGTGTTGCGTTTATCTTTGCTGATGACATTAAAGTTGTCTACTCACAACCACGTGCAAATACTCAGGAAGCCGTACGTCTCATTCAGGATGACCTATCCGCCCTTGACTCCTGGTGCCAACTGTGGCAGATGTCATTTGCCGTGGACAAGTGTAATATTTTGTCGTACAAATGCCAAGTACCGCCAGACAGTTTATTACTACAAGGTGCCTATATCTCGCAATGCAGGACAATTCGCGACTTGGGCGTGCGATATTCAGTTACGTTTAACTTTTCTGAACACTGTGACTTCCAAGTTTCGAAAGCCATGAAGACCATTGGTTATATCTGCCATCATTTTTACCTCACGGAATCTCGCATATCCCTTTACAAAACATATGTATTGCCGTGTATGGAATACTGTTCAATGATACAGTCTAATCTACGGAAGTCTGACCAGCACGCTCTTGAGAGGGTCCAGAGACGCTTCACGAAAAAGCTATGTGGATATTCCTCAAAGTTGACATACAAGGAGCGATGCGATAAACTTGGATTTGACCCAGTTTGGCTTCGGATAATGAAGCTGAACCTATGTTTTCTTTACAGAATCATAAATTGTCAAATTCGCAGTCCTGAAAGCGGTGTTCACATATCTGTAAACAACAGATACCCAATACGTAACAAAGAGGTAAAGGTCATGATTCCAAAATTTTCTACGAGAATCAGAGAACGTTTCTTTCTAACCCAATACTCAAAGATTTGGAACAAACTTCCAAGTGATATCAGAACATGCTATACTCTTTGCAATTTTAAGCTTGCTATTAGTAAGCATTTAACCGTCCAAAACGTGATTAAGATGTTCGGGACATCACAGTCCCTAGATAACGCATTCGAAAACGGTATCCATGGTGTCTGAATAAATTTCTGAAACATATACACATAACATTTCGGACAACAGCCCCTTTCATTACATTTTTTTCTCTCGGCCCAAATATCTATCATGTGATTGTAAAGAATCCTGATTCAGTGGCAGGTAAAAATAGCAGAACGATTCTGATTACTCTGTGTAACATAATTTGCAATTGCATCCATGTTTATCTCTGAAAATGTATTGATGAAATGTCATGGAAAAGTTGTACCATTATTTGATCTGTTCCTTATAGAGAACAGCTTCTCGCATCGTCGAGGAATATACAATTTATTTATTTATTTATATTGTCACTTGTCCCGATAACGCTTAGCTGTACCCGAGCGTCGCTAAGCTTCCGCCTTCTAGAAAAGGCGATAAGGTCGAAATGTTGAAAAACCTGTGCCTATTATAGTTACTACTATGAAAGCCCAGATAATGGTTCTCCAGAGGCCTAGGTTAAGATTTGCCAGTTTCCCGTCGAAAGGTTCGATTTGCATGCTATTAGCGGCATGTAGTCTGATCGGAAACGGTGAGACCACCAAGTCACTGGAGCCATGAGGTGTGCCATTAGCTTTGGCCCCTATACCCACTAGGAACTCGGTACTGGAAGTTAAATCCCTTATGCGGCTTTGGTTTCGGCCAGTCGCCTGCCTCGCCATTACGGGCCGGCCGGCCGGCCGAAAAGCTTCCCTGCTTCTCGACGAACCTGCACGACTTAACGCATTTGCGGGCTGTGTTACCAAAGCTAGTTTACCGATATGCTTGCCAATTCTTGTAAGTGATTTCGCTCGGCTGTGACAGCGACCACTCATAGTGGGCAGTTAGACTTGCGAATAATTTTCGCAACTTGTGCTTGCAGGGCTTCAATCGTTGATTGCTAGCCGGTGACAGAATTTCTCTGGGACGCCACGGCGTCGATGTTGCTGGAGTCGGCTTGTGACTGTGATCGTTCGACGACTCGTTTTGTCAAATTCGTTAGTTGGGGAAGCGATACGGAGCTCAGGTTGGCGAGAATTGCTTATGTGTTTTGCGGTATCTGCTACAGTCATAACTCGCATACCAGTGTCTCGTGCATGGTTGATGGACTAAGCAGCTATTGCAACTCACTTAACAGGATTAAGGGCCGTTTAGCATTCAACTGAAGATCTCTGAAAAGTTGCTACGGACCGATTTTCTCAGAAGTGCACAAAGTGCATAATCGTAACCTCTTTAAGGGCCATATAGCGGTTTTCCGTCTATAAAGTTATGTTACCTCGAACCTAAATAGATACCTCGTTGAAAACATACAACATGAGGTGACTGTACTTCGCGTGGTCTGTAGGGATTCTGCGGTTGTAAAACTCTGTCTCTAGATAAGCAAGCCACAAAAGGGATCCAAGTACCAAGAGTGTGGGACAGAGATAGATGCAACACCAGTAGGAGACACTAAATTAAAGTCTACAGAATCCATTGTTACAATGTAATCACAAACCCGACCGTAGGCAAATAGTATCCGGAAAATACGACAAAGATGAATGGGACGGTCTCACCTGAGGAGAAATCGAAATATCCGGCGTTGATATCCTTCCGACATCAAGATCACCTATTAAGGACTTCAAAATGCTCAACCAGTTGAAGGGAAACGTTTATTTGTGTAGCGGAAGGTTCGGTTTGCCTAAGTATAAAATGACGACACCATTGACGCTGCTAGCTAGGAAGAACGATTATAGGCAACACAGAAGAGCGGTAGCGCATTGCAATCGAAACGAACACCAAGTAAAATGACTGTGCTCGACTCAAGCAATCGAACTCAACAACAACTTCAACAATCCGCACAGGTGGCCCAAGTGTGCAATGTGTTAATAATTTTAGTTAGAATTTCACACAAAGAAACCCACGAATCTCCAGACTGATACAGGATATTGAGCAGTAGCCTCTCAAACACTTCGGTTTGCATTGTACTGTGATTCCTCGGTAGGGATACGTGTGTGGGCTAGGCGAGCGAACACGGAAAGTAAAGCAATGTAATAGACCGCGGCACAGAACTAATTACGAAGGATGAAGAGCAAGTAGAATAATTGCAGTCCACGGACGGTCACCTGAGTGGTAATAGCGAACGCGCGACGTAAAGCAGACAAGCGGACTTTGGCCAATCAACTTCGTTCGCGAACCGCTAACACGAATAGGTCCCACAAACGGGTTTATACAAACAACGAATGTGCAGTACAATCAAGCAACACGTGATGTACAAAATTCAAACAGCTTAACGAATGTTCTGTTCATCGAGGTCTACTAACATGAAATAAACAGGCACTAAACGCAGAGATACAGGTAAACAATCTAGTACGATTACAATGGCGTTACTCACAGTCGCTTCAAATAGCACACACAGTGAATGATGAACAAAAAATAGCCTATCAGTAAAATATAAAAGTGAAAACATCCATTGCTACATTTCACGGACAAGAATCGTGGAGTATGGCCACGTTCTTATGTATATGTATATGGGCGAAGATTGAACGACTTCGCCCACAAGCAAATTTAGCTTTACAACCTCTTTTCGTTCTTAACGGGCCCACTCAGATGCAGATCGATCGAACGTGCACCCATTTGCTTATCCGTCACAGCAAATTTGTGGTAAATAGACTACCTCCATTTCATCGTGCACTACTTCGTTTGCGTTTTGGCTACAAATCAGCTTACGTCACTTTAAGCGGGTTGTTGTTTTCTCCGAGCTGGACAATTTGGTTGCAGACCTTTCCTTGCCAAGATTGACAACATCCTCATTCCGGCTATCGGGGTCTGATTTGTAGAGTCTCGTTGGCCACTGTCAGCTTCAAGTGTCAATTGATCGTCTGCAACGAAATTGCCTAACTCGGAGAACACATCAATCCTTTCGTCTAGACATCCAGCTATAGGTATGCACAATAATTACATCACTTCAATATCATATGACATAGTAATGAACGAGCCAACAGAGTCATGTGCACTTATGCCTTTGGAATAAACGACAAGTAGTAGAGGTGAGTACTCTTCTGGTAGGTATTTAGGCGGTTGCGTTCTATACTGCAAGAGACAACGAAGCTATTTAATTTCTTAAGATAACTGTAGTAACTGATTATCTCCGGTTAGTAAATATAGGCCATAGAAAGTAGCATAGTCATGGAAACAGCAGCAATCGAACGTATATATTTTTTCTATTACACTACCTTTTTATCCACTTTTTATTCACTATCTTGCATCGAAGCTGCTGCATCTGAAATATGCAGTTAAAGAAGGCTCATTAAGTATACAGTTATTGATGTTTGATTCTTGGCATTGTTCAGGCAATACAAATCACAATGCAGCTGATCCCGACTGTAAACGATGTACATTAGACTAAGGAATTTTTAGTTTATTCACTGCAAAGGAGCACAAACTTTGATTCATTCTCTTTCAGATGTCATTTGGGTAACACCCCACTTCATTACGTGGCCATCGGAGGCAACATCCAGGCTTGTCGGATCCTACTGCAGACAAATCCATCTTTACTAAACCAAACCAACTTCCATGAGGCAAGTTGAAATATCACGTTTCTATGAATTTCGGTTTAGCAGTTTAGGCCACATTTCCACGCCTGGTGGCGGAATAGATTTGGCTCTTCACTATTAACAGTTGTTTACATGCGTGAAATTTTGTGAAATTTAAGAATTGTTGATGATACCCGGATGAATTACGAGTTAGAACTTGTGGAGTGGCTCTGCTTGCATATGCCAAACTGGGTCACGTTCGTTGTTCGGAGAACTACATACGATGTAATTTCGGTTATACATAAACTTATATCTAATCGACGTGGCATGTAACCTGCTAAGGGGTGTAATGATTAGTTGTAAGTAGTAGGTGGTTTATTAGGCTTTTGGGAAGATTCGTCACGGCTGGACTCAGGCTGACAGTCACCACACATCCAGGAAAGCGCTGGACGGCCTTGCCACACTATTGGGACTCGTTATCATCGCGAACCCGCCGAATCCTGCCGGATTCGGCTTACATGCCACCTTGATTGGTGGCTGCCTGCAAAGGAAGTAGTTGCTCTGGGAGCCAGCCTGTCCTCTGCACATTCATAACACGCATGACAGTGGGGGATGAGCCGCGCTATATTGCGGTTGGATATCATTCAGAGCGGTCCACTGCCGGCGCCCATAGCTCAGTGACATGTCGCTGGCTTGCGACAATGAAGTCGCAGGTTCAAATCCGGCGGGGTTTGGCGGGTGCGCACTAATGATGAGTCCAAATAGGACAAAAAGGCCGTCTAGCGCTTTCCTGGATGTTAGGTGACTGTATGCCGGAGTCTAACTGCGACGAATTTTCACAAAATCTACATAAATCCCCCTACTACTTACAAATCTGTAGAATTCTTTTAGTCTCGCTTATGCGTGAAGCGGGCTTTCTTACAAAGTGTCATCAGTTTGACACCCCCATTGCAGCCCACTCATAAAGAAAGAGAAACGATCATCCGGTTACATTTCCACTTTTGCTTTTCTAAGCATACAATCAGTTCCACAAGGTACTGACTACGTTTAGGATCACAGGGACGAAATGCTTCGCACGAGACATATTCACTAGGATTATCACACATGGGGATAATTTTCTAGAAACTGAGCATTATGTAGGCTCTTAACTCTACGGTTTTGACATTTTGGATCTCTGAACTACGTACATGGGAATGACTGTATACAGCCGCAGCAAAACTACCGACACGGATGCGAGCGTAACGGGTGACAGAAGATTAAACGCAATGCATCAGTAAGTGTGGAGTGCTGATCCCTTCCTGCACCGCTGTAAAATATGATCACTAGGAGCAGAATTTAAAATGCTGTCAAACATCGAACAAAAGCTATGGAACCATTCTATTCATATAGTTCAATGGTTGGTCTTTAGTGATTGCTCATCTCACAGGAGTTTTATGTTACTGATTAAAATTTAAGCGTTGTACTATTCAAACTTCTTACTTTCTTAGTAAGAAGGTTTGTTAGTTGCTGCCTCTCGAACCAAGCATTTTTGCCGTCGCGTAAGTTTCTTGGTTAGAGTTGATCGGAATAATACCGAAGGCGGGATTAATTACGATAAAACTGGGTTTATCAACCAATAAAAATTTTGCAGCTCGAATTTTTCACGTGACGTCGGCTAAGAATTTCTTTTGACGCGTTGTTTTAGCTAAAAAGATTAAGAGCGGATGCATGGAACTAAGTGATCCGGTTTCCTGGCCGGCTTTATGTAACGTCATATAAACCCACAGTTGTCAGTCCGACCTAGGTGCTGTGGTATAACAAAGAATTACGTACCACCTTCGGAAATGTCTTTTACGGCTTCCTACAACTTAGTGGTTACATTGTCAGTCACACACTGAAGGGTCCCTGGGATCAGGTATTAACGTATCGCTGCCGGATACCTGGACGCCCTAATTACCTATGGGTAGATAAATAGCTGGTAAGCACTCTTCCGCCATCATCCGCGTAGTTTACTATATATATATATATATATATATATATATATATATATCCTTCTTATGTGGCTACACTGTTTCATCTGATTCGGTTATGGTATAAACGATCTGTTAACTAACGCCTTAACGTTGCAGTGTTCGCTTACATAATTGGGTGTACGAACTACATATAATCACTATCGATCACTAGTTAGTTACTCCTCATTAAAGCAGCAGAACCAAGGTTTTCTTGTTAGTATTGGGCCCTAGTGCCATATCTTCGCGCATGGAAGGCTGATAGAGTAATGTATAAGAAGCGGAAAACGAGCTGAATGCTCCTTAAAAGCATAACATTTAATTAAAATTTTAAATGGTGTGTGAAACAGCATCCATCCAGAGGTGGTCTGATATTTGCGCCCTTTCCCAGATAACGGCGATATTATGAACAATGAACTGTGATTTAGCACGGGTAAAAAAGCAGGTGCTTGACAAGTTCCGTAGGATGGTTGGAGCAAAAATTAAAATTTGATGGATCATCGAATAAGTAAATCGGTATTTCAAGCGTCCACCGAGTTAAATACACTATTGCATAACGATAGTTTGAAGTGGGAAGGGGATGGGCACATGAAAAATAGTATAGAGAACTGTTATAGTTCAGTAAGTGTGTGATAAATAACAATAGAAACGACAACGCTCACTAGTTTGTTTCTTCATTTGACATATGTGATATGTTAATCCAGTTTAACTACATCCAAGCTAAGCACATGGATACTTCTGCATGTATCCTCACCGCCATGTTGCGGCGAGGGCCAGTAAGCACTTTGTTAGGTTTGCGTTGTTTCCTCCTCCAAGTGGTTAACAATGTCCGTTAAAAGTATTACTTCCGATTCCTTGTTTGGAACCCACTAACGTAATAACATCATGTTGCTGAGTCAGTCACACAAACCAGACAGTATGGCATGTCTGGGAGGAGCAGTGGTTTGTTATGCGGTCCAACCAAATTGATTGGTGATATAGGGTGAATTCACATAGACTTAGAATATCATGAAAGCTAATAAGTTGATGCCTGTTCCTGAACAGGAAAACAAATGAGAACCACATTACTGTCGCCCTGAAGGTAGAGTATACAGTGCAGCGGTACTTTCGACCTTACTGTACGGTTGCGAAACCTGGCCCCTAAGATCGGCGTACATAAACAGGCTAGTTAGGTTCGACCATCGGTGACTTCGCAGTATGGCTCACATCTGGTGGGAACACCGCGTGAGCAACGAACGTGTTGGACGCCTTGTTTAGGACACATGAAACGGAAATGAACCGCTCGAACCGTTATTTCACGTATCAGGCTCTGATGGCTCGGGCACATATTACGCATGCCAGCCCACCGGCTTCCATGAAGTGCGTTGTTTGCTCACCGGGGATGTGGATGGAAGAACAGGAGGGGTGGCCAAGCGATGACTTGGTCGAGAGGAATGAAGGCCCTCACTTCTGAGCTGGTCTCGGCTGGAGCGTCTCGGCTTCCTGGTTGGGGTCCAAAAGATGGTGAACACGTTTGGCTGGATACACTTGCTGACATGGCAAGGAGCGGCGTTCCTGCTGTGAGTTTCTTTGTCCCTCTCCATCCCTTTTAGCCTCCCCCTCCACCTATGATATCATTTCGTAGTGTAAAAAAATAATTTTTCTTTTTGCCTAGTAGCCGGCTGGTAGCTTACCGGAACGATGCCTATCCGTTTCTGGTACCTCAGGTGGTATGCAACTGTTGTATTTATTTTCCTTTACCTTTATGTATTGCGGCACAATAGCTGAGGTGTTTGCCACCTCTAGCTAACGGGTATAATGATGATGATGATGACAGTCCGATTGCAGGGTTACAACAAAATTTCGCGCCCTTCTGTGCTACTGGAAATGTGTTTTGTATACGTGACCACACCGCATATAACAAGCCACCAATGCAACAACTAAGCACATCATAACTAAGTACATGAATAAATAAATCTTTTACTTTTGACTACGTGAGGCACGCATGCACAGGCATGAATATTGCAAGAGTACGAGTGATCGAGCAATGTAAAAAAGTGTAATTGTTTTGTCATATCTGTGGATCCACGTATGTATGTACGCGCAAGTGGGTGTAGCTGTGTTGCTGCACTTTTAGCTGTGGTTGCTCGCGTCGCCAGTATCAGAAGGAACATTTGAAGTCGGTGGAGTTGAGACGATTGTCCGGATAAATAAACAAATTTATTTACTCTCGTTAGGCTTGAGGCAGGTCTCGATAGCCATGATCATAAGGTTACAGTATTGATGAAGTGTCAACCACAATGCATGTTTAGTTAGTGCAAATGTAAAATTGTTGCACAGGATCCGTAGTAATTAGAACAATGGAACCATGGAACACTGGTGTGTTACGGGTAAATAAGCGATGCTTAACAAGTTCAGTGGGATGGAAATAATTGCGATAAAGTGAAAGGCGTTTTGATAGACTCACCATAGACTTAAGTAGAATAAGGTAGATGTTCGCGTATTAAAAGTATAACTCCATAAACTTTTTGGTTGGAAGGTTGGCAAGGCACCCTTTGCTTGCTTTTTGTGGCTCTTGGCTAACAAGTCATAAAATGTTATAGGTGGAAATTCATCACATCTAGACTCACTCAGACAGCCGTCACATGCCCGGAAAAACACTGTTCGCAAGTTCCATACTTTCGGGAATCGTCAGCAGTGCGCATTCCATCGGACCCTGGTAAGGCTCGAATCCGACTGTTGCCAGTCCGTGGTTGAGACCATTGAGATACGGGGGACGGCAACAACCATCGTAAATAAATTACTAGAGGCAATATAGCTCCGCTCACAGTGCTTTTTAAGGCGTGTGACGGCAGTCTGAGTGAGTATACATATGTTGAATGTCTACCTATAACATTCAACTCCCCTACTACTCTTCTGTAATCAGTACGCAGACCAAACTGCTTGTAATGCCATAAGTTAATTGGTGGCTTAAGTTTGGTAAGCTCGTCGCTTGGTGAGGGGGCTACCCTGTCCTATGCACGGCACTAACGTGTAAGTCAGTGGATAGTGAGCTGCGCTATATTACATCTAGTAACT